GCAGAAGTTCAGCAAGCCAGTGACGAGCATAAAAGTCACAATAAGTCGCAGAATCAACGGTTTGCTTCCAGTTGCCATGTTGTCACCATCTCATGTCACAGAAGACAGAAGAGAGAAAACCAATCGATAAGCGGCTTTGATCTCTCGAAACTTCGAGTAAAACTCGAAAGTCTTAAAAGGACGTTCAACCCATTGATTCAAGACAGTTCCATAACTCTTAGAAATGTCGTCGTCGCTGTTTCGACCTTCGGTCTGGAGAGACTTTTGAACACCGGAGTATTCCACTGTCCTGACCACTGCTTGACACGGAAATGAAAAAGCTCGTGGTCTTTGGCAGCCGCCCGATGATCCGTAGATCACCTGGTTTCAAGCTTTCTTTGTTCGGAGAGGATAATCATGCCATTAGAGTCTAGTAAGGATCTTGGTGTAGCGTTCGACCGCACTTTGAATGAGCCAAGTAGAGCAAAGCACGCATGTAGTTCTACTATTTTAGTGATCATCCTAACTGCGCTTGTTTTTTTTTTATTTTATTTTATTTTTTTGTTTTCAAAATGGAACTCATAGCTCCATCTCCATCCCTCAAGAACCTGGCCGGGTGGCACCCCGTAAAAAAGGAGCCAAGTCGCGAGGACGCTATTTTTACCTTTCAAGTGCAAGGGGGGTTCCCCATGGACTGTTGGCCAGAGATCATTTCATTACAGGACAGACGACTTATGAAATCCATTATAGAAAGATTTAAGACAGCGTAACGGCCCTTCCAACTTCAAGAAAATTTTGAAAACAAAGATGTATAACAAGTTTTTTTAAAAAAAATAAGTTGTAACACCTGTATATCAAACATATTTTCTCCTGTAATGTACCCATTCTACGTATTTATTCACCATATTGTTCACTGAAAACCTTTTTTCGGGGGTGTGCACTTAAATTATATCTTACACCTTTACAAGGCCTATACCTTAGACTCACATTCCTGCCAGTGTTTCGATGCCTGAATCGCATTTGCATGACAGATTTATAAAGAAATGAACGTGCCTAGCAATCCATAAAAGTTTTGGTTCAAGAAAAAATTCAGTGGAAAAAACCGCTTTAAATTAATTTTATGGGCCGGTAATATTTCCGAAGAATATGATAAACACAAGAACCCCCTCTCCATATGAAAAACTTAAAATTAAATGACCCGTAAATGAAGTTTAATACGCAGACGTGCGAAGATATAGAATTTTTCGTCGAACTGGAGTCACTAATCACAAAAAGTGTTAAAGTGCGCCAAAGACAAAGTAGTTCTTAGCGCAAAACAGTTGGTATACAGCAGTAGCGATTAAGCTGTTTCAGCGGCACTGCACATCCAGATCGTTTCATAATAAATTGTACGATATCCATTATTTTGTTTAAATCCTCAAACAACGTGATCATCTTTATACGGAATTACTTAATTGGATTTGTTCAAAGAAGTCGCAACCCCCGTCGGGTGCCTTTTAATTGCTTATGTATTGCCTCAATGCGAGCGAAAATGTCTTATTTCACTGACTTTTTTGTTTAGCTAAAATTGGATTTTTAGTTTGCACGAGTGACGCTTTACTGAGTGATGAACAGGATATTTATCGGATAGGTGGACATTTGCCTGTAGCGCCTCCTTACGACAGGAGGATGATCGTGGTCATGCATGTCCATTGTAATAAAACCTTTCTCATTTAATAATTGATTCCGGTAGTCAAACAACGAAAAGTTAAGTCAAAGGTGCACAGTACTTTGACGCAATGAAAAGCAGTACTTATAGGTTTATATCAGCAAAAACTATCCAATAAGCTTCAAATCTAACTTCAACTTGTTTTTCATCTAAAAGAAGCTAACACTCCCAGTTTATTTTCAACAATCAATATCAGACGAATGATTAAAATGGTAACAACTTCTCAACTGCCAATTTTATTGAGTTAAACCATGCTAATTTCTGTTTAAAATCAAATTAGAAGCATTTTATCATCTCTACTCCTCCACGATCGGTGTTGAGAGAGGCTGAGTTGAGATAGTTATGATCTCAGAGTGGTCTCATTTCTCAAGCCATGATAATTTAATTTTTTTTTTTTGGCATTCTGTGTCATTAAATTTTTCATGTTGTCGTAAGTCCCAAGCAAGAAATCATTTGCCTAAAAATATTTATTTTGCTGAACTACAGAATCGTTCAATTGGACTTTACAACCAGCCAATCCAACATTGGTTATAAAAGGAGAAGACAAGTCACTCACATGGAAGTTCACTCTAACTGCTGATGAACAGACTAAAAGCCAGACACTCTATCTTATTCATTGGAAGAAGTTTAATCTGGCAAATTTAAATTATGATGTGATTGCTTCCACAACCTTTTTAAATCTCGTTGGTGAAGCTAGTTACAGTGAACCCAGAGCCCCACATATTGAGATTGTCAGAGGTGATCAAGCCACAATACTCATAAAAAATTTCAGGACAGAAGATGAAGGAACATACAAGATTGAGTACAGTATACAACTTGGTGGGAGTCCTATTGCTTATCATGAAGTAAATGCCACAGTTTTAGGTAAGTTGTTTACATGTGAGGAGTTCTGTTTGAAGTTTTTTCTTAATCTTTTGTGAGGCTTTGGGTGCTGTTGGCTCAGCTCGTGTAAGAAAGCTGTGACGTAAAAAGTTATTTACTGTCTAGTCTGTACATAATATTAGGTAAAACTTGATTGAGTTTTAAAAACATGAAATGAGAGTTATGGTGAAGGTCAGAAATTCATATGCCTTTAAAATTATTGATTTTCTGTCTGCTTTGGCCAGCGATTTGGTTTTACTGCAGGAGAAGCCAGTTCAGTCAGATAAAAAAAAAATTATTGCCATGTAAAAGTAGAATTCAGTTGAGTTTGAAGTTTATGTAGAATTGAACAAACAGTTGTCATCACTAGTATCCATTCAAGAGAAGAAATAGTTTTTTTCTTCAGTCCAAAGCTATATCACCTGGAGTGAGCAGAAACAATTAAAAACTGTTGTAGCATACAATATTTTGATTTGAAAACCAAACTGCTCCACATTGCAGCCACCTACCCTGAATAAAATTATTTTGGTTTTCTCTTTCACAACCCTCAGTTATTTAATAATGAAAACATCGGGCCATGCGAAGGTTTCTAAGTATCAGTGAAAAAAAATGAGAAGTCCAAAAGCAGCCCATTTACACGGTATGTCTTTCAAGAGGCTGAAAGGCTAAAAATTTAGGAAAACTAAATTGCTTTTTGTCAAAGAAGCAACATTTGTGGTTTAAATT